GGGGTATCTCACAGTTGCTTACGTGGGTGGCTTCCAGTTGGGGACTGTATGTGAAGGAGTCAGATGATAGCCCTGCCTTTCCCCAGTGTCCAGATGGAACTCTTGAGACCATTCAGGTCCCACCACACAAGTGATGTGCAACTCATGTTGCTGGAGGGGTGTTTTGTTACTCCTAGAAGCTTGACTTTACAGTGGGAGATTTGTTCTGTGTTTATTTTTTTTTTGTTAAACCTATTCTATTTTTATTCAGTTCAGCAACTGTTTGTGTTTTGTGTGTGTGTGTGTGTGTGTGTGTGTGTGTGTGTGTGTGTGTTTTGAGACGGAGTCTTGCTCTGTTGCCCAGGCTGGTGTGCAGTGGCGTGACCTTGGCTCACTGCAACCTCTACCTCCCGGGTTCAAGTGATTCTCCTGCCTCAGCCTCCCAAGTAGCTGGGATTACAGGCGCCTGCCACTACACCCAGCTAATTTTTGTATTTTTAGTAGATACGGGGTTTCACCATGTTGGCCAGGCTGGTCTCAGACTCCTGACCTCAAGTGATCCACCTGCCTTAGCCTCCCAAAGTCTTGGGATTACAGGCGTGAGCCACCCTGCTGGGCCAATTGTGTCTTAACTGATTGATTACCTAACCCCACTCATCTCTGGACGGCAGGTGAATATAGGTGTCTGTTGAACCCACCTATTTCAGGATTACACATCCTGCAAATTCTTGCATTTCCAGATGATGGAGGCTACACATTAGGGCATAAGTAAGGTAGGGCCACCAGAGGAGATCTTTCTCTCTGGGCCAGAAGGCGAGTCTGCACTGTATCAGGTGAACGATTGTGTCTGGCCCCACACACCCCTGAGACGTACCCTCTGCCCTCGGTGCATGGCATCTTCTCAGAGGCGTTTTGGACAATAAGTGGTAGTTTTTCCCTGTTGTAAGGGAATGAAAAGAGTATTTGTTGCACTTAGCAATGTCACAAGGACTTGTGAGTGAGCACATCCCTCTGCTGTGCCTCTGGTGTCCTGGTTTGGTCTGGAAGTCTCAATCACAGAAGCTCACTTCAGTTACATCTTAGCATTTCCTTGGCCCCCATCTAACCAGCCACTCTTACTTATGCCCATCCTAGAGTTCTGCCTTTTCCAGTTGTTCTCCTTTCCAGAAATTCAAACTTCCTTTTCAGCCCTTGTTGTGCCAGTCGGCCCTGAAGCAGGAGCTCTGTGCACACCCTGTCGGCCCTGCCACCGTGCAGGGCACAGCACCCTATGCTCAGAAGGGCCCCTGCTTTGCTTCATGCTCTGTTCTCACTGTCTTGAAATTTCTGATAATTCTTGTACAAAGGGCCCCACATTTTCATACTGCGCTTGGGCCTGAAAATTCTGTAGCCAGTCCTGAGCCTAGGGATGGAGAAGGCAGCCCTTGGGTGTGCATTGGGCGCCAATCTCCTGGGCCCCTGGCCAAGCTGGCCTGCCCTCCCTGTCCGCTCCTTCAGTCCCCTTCTACCCAGACACTCGCTCAGCTTCAGTTAGCTAAAATGTGACCTCTGACTCTTGGCTGATTGCCCAAATTGCTGTCACCCTGACCCAAACTCTCTGGTTTTTGCAAATGCAATCACTTCCATTTCTGCAACACGCCCCACCCCCAGCCCATCCCTCTGCAAGATTTACAGAGTAGCAGCTGCTGTCGTCCCTCTGCACACAGACAGCTGACTTGCCTGCTGATTGTGAACATCCCAGTAATCCAAGTGCTAATGGTATTTATTTAGTCCAGCCGGCTTAGCCCTGAACAAGGTTTATTCTCATTTATCGCATCGGAGATGAGCTACGTCCTTAATATCCTTCTGTTGACTTTGAGCACACCAGTGCCACTGATGTCACTTTGAGGCATGCCAGGCCCCCCCCTGTTTAACTCACGCAGATCCCCAACTGACAGGACACCTACCTTCCATCCAGCAGAGCTGGCCCCTCTAGGGGTGGGCTGTAGCTCTGGTCTGGAATCCATAAGCTGGAGGAGGATGACGCTGGCATATGTGTGTGTGCTCCAGGCATCGGGGCTGAATAAAGCTGTGTTCTCCAGGATGTGGTCTGGCCTCTTCTGTAATTGTCTTTTGGCCACAGCGCATTGGCTGGCACTGGCATTTTGGCATTCATTAGCTATTCTGTCTTTAACATAGGTAGTCTTAGCTCTGCGGCACAGGTGAGGGCTTGTCCAAGGTCGTCAGCCATTGTTCCTGAGATTCCCAGCAAGGGTCCTCCAGGCCCTGGCCCTTGCACATCCCTAGGCCTCACTCTGAGCTATTATGTTAGTTACCACCCTCAGCCCCAGGCTGTGAGCATTTAGAGCCCAAGGCTGAGCTGCCTGCAGAGAGAAGGTCTGTTTCTGGGAGCAGATTCTGCCCTTGTCGGGAGATTGCTCAGGAAACCTTCAGCTCTGCTGGCCCTGCTGGATGGACTGAGAGGCAGCTGGAAGCACAGGCCTCGTCTTCCCCCTGTTCCTCTGCTGTGTTCCCCAGCCCCTTGCCTTCCTTCACAGGGTGGCCTTTTAGGGAACTCCTGATGCTGCAGGAACCCTGGGATAGGGCCCAGAGTTCCCAGGGTTCCTTGGGCACCTCATTTAAGTCGATCACCTGAAGAGGCCAGGCAGGGCATGGGCCCACAGCTGCCAAGGCTGCGCACTGTCACAGCCCAGGTTTGGCCCATGGTCTGGCTGTACCCATGGACTTGGCTGTGGGTGAAAATGTGAATTTATTGCCTTATGAACCTGATTTCAGCAATTTACAAAAGGCCAGACTTACTCTTTTCTCTCCGATTTACTTCTCCCTTGTTGGAGCTCTGTTCTTTCCTAGGAGGTGGGAAGAGCCTGCCTGAGGGAGACGGAGAGCTCTCAGCCTGTCTGAGGGATGCAGGGTGAGTGGGACCGGGCTGCTGCTGGCTTGGCGTGGGTGGCTCTTGGCCCACATCAGCCTACCTTGAAGAAGGGACTTTTCTTTGCCCTGGTCCCAGTGCAGAAAGTGGAAGGGCTCTGGTGGCCCAGCCCTGGGCAATTAACTGGGGCTGCAATGATGGGGTGCAGTGATGAGCTTTGTTCTGTCTTTGGAGGGCGTTGTCTCTGCTGCTGTGAAGGCCCATGAGGGATGGGACTCCTCAGCAGTGTTCCCACAGGCTGATGCAGTGTCAGATGTCACAGCCCCGCTTTGGGAGGCAGCATTTGTTGTTTATGTGAATCTCTCAGTGTGGTCGTCTTCTCTTCCTGGACCCTCCTTTCATGGGTGAACATTCCTTAGGCACATGATGACAGAGACAGCCCTAATTAGTTCATGCTTTGATTAAGCAGCTGCCTGTCTCAAGTCGGGGGGCAGGGGAACAGCTCGGCTCCCAGGCCCCCCGAGCCAGCGCCTGCCTGCCTATCTGGAGAGGAGCTGTCAGCCTCCTTCCCCAGGGACTCTGGCCCATCTCCAGGCTGCTCTGCAGACACAAGGGTGGAGTTGCTGTGGGACAGGCTGGCACCCACCCTGTACTTCCTTTCTGGCTGAGAGGCTACAGAGTGACACATGCTACAAAGGAGCCTTTCCCTTTGGGAAACTGGCTCAGTGTGCTGGGTCTGCTCTGGACCTTGAAGCTGGCTCCTGGTTGGAAGAGAAGTGGGGAGCTATCTTCATTCCATTCAGCTGGCTTTGGGGGTGTGCCTGCTGTGTGTCGAGCCCTCTCCTGTGCGGTGGCACTTCTGTGTCAGCAGAAGACAAATCAGCTAGCTCCTTCTGATTTGTCTTTGTTTCCTTACACCCTAGCTCACTCTCGAGGACACCATGAGTGACTCCTGGCCAGGAGCATTGGGAGTTAGGAGGAACAGGTGCTTTTGGGGTCTCCAGGAGCTTGTGGTCATGCTAAGGTCAGACAGCCAGAGGCACTGGTGTCTTTGGTAGACTGCGACATCCTTTGCCAGTTATTTGGGTGGGTGTGACAGCCACCATCTGACTGCTGGCCTGTCCCTTTCACTTGCTGCTGGCCTCAGGCTTTTGTGTCCCCTCTCTTCTCTCTGGCCTCACAGTAGGCTGCTGCGAGAGGAGGCCTGACCTGCCCAAGGGCCTGACCATCTGGTCCCTGTGCTTGGCACTTGCTCCTTAATTGATCCTTAATGTGATCTTGAAAAGCAAGGAGCCTGCAAAAGGGTATCCTGCAAGGGATCCCAGCCATGTCCCCTGCCTGGCACCCTGCCCTGATGGGTGCCCCCACCAGGCCCCCCCATCCCTTCATCTGGGAGGTCTGAGCCTGAAATATTTTAATCACATCACTGTTTCTCTAGCCAAGAATGGGGAGAGGAGTTCCAGAGGCAGCTCAGGGTTTTGAGTACTTTGGTGTAGCTTATTTGTTGGTATGTTCAGGTGGTGTGCCCGGGTTTGTTTGTTCATTTGTTCATTCATTCACTCATTCATTCATTCATTTCCTACTCTCCAGGGACCTATGATGTGGCAGGCTCTGTGCTGAGTGCTGAGAATACAGAGACAGAGAAGCTGACAGTAGCTGCTGTTATAGAGTGGGAGCCCAGTGGGAGGCTTTGCGTTGTCCTGTTTTAGGATTTGCCTAGGTATTCAGAGGCTCCTGTCTCTTGCACTTTCTTCTTGCCCTCTCCCACAAGCATTTTCTATGTGCGGTCTGAGTACTGACCCAGGAGAGGAAAGGAATGGGGCCCTGGCCTTGGGGCGTCAGACCCAGAGAGGAACAGACCCATTAGTAATTGCTCCAGTGTGTGATGTGCTTGGGGTCACGGAGAAGGAACATCCGGCACTGGCTTCCTATGGGAGGACGGGAGGACACTGAAGGAGTGCCTTTGGCATCGAGCTGTCTGTCGTTAAAGCAGTAGAAGTGATTCACCTTCCTAGCCGGCTCCAGTCCCTTGGCTGCTGGGGAGTGGGGGCTGGCATGGGAGTCTTTAGCCCTGTCATCTGTGCATGGGCCGCTGTTCCCACATGGGTCTGTGCCAGATGGTCTTTGTTTCCCAGGCTGAGTTCGACTTGCCCAGAGTGGGATCCTCCATTGTTCCCGTTTCTGCCCTGGGATGGCTGGCGTGGGCTCAGTTCCCTTACCACCTGATCCCTGGGCTGGGCAGGGTGCTCACTCTTTCCTATGCTTCTTCCCCAGCAACCCCAAAGTCCAGGTGGAGGCCATTGAAGGGGGAGCCCTACAGAAGCTGCTGGTAATCCTGGCCACGGAGCAGCCACTCACAGCAAAGAAGAAGGTGTGTTTCCATGCCCTTCCTCCTGCCCGGCCCCCAGAACACCTGTGGGCCTGAAAGGAAAGGAAAGGTTCAGGCTATGCTTGTCACCTTGGGGGCCTGAGCATCATCTGCTAGGTAGCATAGGGGAGAGGTCACACTCAACTAAAGCAGGTGACAGTGTGCTGAGGTGTCTAGAGGCCTGGGGGCAGCTCCCGTGGTACGGCCTTGGGCCCTACTCCTGGCCTCCCACCCTGGGCCTCTGTTTACCTGTCATTTACCCACTTGATAATGTTGAAGGTGCCTGAGTCCCTCCTGGCCTCACAGTCCTGGGTTCTGGGGTGTAGCTGTACCTGAGGTGTTGGGTGGGGCCGGGAGGAATGAGCACTAGGTTGGGGCACCTCTGGCTGCCTTCCCTGGGCCTCGGGGCAGGTACCACTTGTTTGTCCTCTCAGCTGCCCCTCGATCTCTGCCCCCAGGTCCTGTTTGCGCTGTGCTCCCTGCTGCGCCACTTCCCCTATGCCCAGCGGCAGTTCCTGAAGCTGGGAGGGCTGCAGGTCCTGAGGAGCCTGGTGCAGGAGAAGGGCACAGAGGTGCTGGCCGTGCGTGTGATCACGCTGCTCTACGACCTGGTCACGGAGAAGGTGAGTGCCCAGGCCCGCCTGGTCTCCTCTCGTTTGCTTTGTGTGTGCTTCCAGATGGATGGACAGACGGATGGAAGAGAGTGGGGACACCAGGGAGGATGTCCTGTGGATGTGGTGGCTAAGCCAGAACCTGAGGGCTGATGAGGAGAGGGAGGTGGCCCTGCTGGCCATGGTCATGGCCAAGTGTGCAGGCAGAGGGCTCAGCATGAGGCGAGCCTGGGAGCAAGCGGGACCAGGCCTCCACGGGACAAAAGGCTGAGGGATGGGGCAGCTGTCTCCAGCCAGTGCAGGAGCCCAGAGCTCCTCCAAATGGTGCTGACTCTGCAGATTGTAGAATCCTGGAGGTGCCTCCTCTCTTCTGGGGGCTGCTCCGGGCAGGGCCTCAAAGCAACTGCCCTTGAGAGTCCCAGGGACCCAGTCTCTTACCACCTCGGAGGAGATTTGGTGCCCAGCCCTCTCTGCAAGCTTGAGAAGTGTCTTAATTAAGGTGGAGAGAGGAAAACCAGCCAGGCCTGGATTCTTAATTCAGCTGCTGCAGCGAGCATTGGCAGGGCTTTCTCAGTCGCCTCTCTCAGGCTGCACGCTCCCCAGAGCAGCCGCATGCCGACTAGTGGAGCAGGGCTGCGCAGCCGCTGGAACTGCTGCCGAATGGTGGAGGCTGGGCCCTTACCCTGCTCTGCACACACCTCCTGCAGGCCTTCTCTCCCTGGCAGAGGGTCAGGATAGCTGTGGCTGCCTTGCTCTGTCCGTCACTGTCTCTTCCCAGCTCTCTGCCACTCTCTGCCTGTCTTACCTCTCGCTCTGTTTCTCTGTCTCCTCTTGTAGAAGCTGCAGAAATCCAGTTTCTTAGAATAGCAGGCAGCCATGTGGTGCTCAGATCCAGTTAATAAGGCCTGGGCACAGTTCACATTCTGGGAGTGGGCCAGTGGACTTGGAGAAGGACATGTAGGCTGGCTGGGCATTTCCCACGGGAAACTGGTCTGTGTTCTCTGGTGTCTTGGGTGTGTGTCTCTGTTGCCCCCAGCCCTGGCATCCTGGGCACTATGGCACTGACCCATGGCTAGCACACTACCACCAAGCAGGCTCACCAAGGCTGCCCCAAGGCAACCGGCTCCGAGATGCTGCCCCTGGAACCTTTGGGGTGCTGATGTGACTGGGGAGGGAAGGATCGGCATCTCTGTACAAACAGCACAGAAACGGCCCTCTTCTTTCAGGGAGGACAGTGGATGAGTTTCAGCCAGAGAGATTTAGGACAGACTTTACTCTGGTTGAGGCAGTCAGGGCTTCTCTGTTCTTGTGATTCCTGTTTTTCTTTCTTTTTTTTGGAGTGGAGACAGGGTCTTTCTCTGTCACACAGGCTGGAGTACAGTGGTACGATCCTGGCTCACTGCAACCTCCACCTCCCAGACTCAAGTGATCCTCCCACCTCAGCCCCACAAGTAGCTGGGATTACAGGCCCATGCCACCATGCCTGGCTAATTTTTTTTGTTTTTTGTACACAGGGTCTCACTATGTTGCTCGGGCTGGTCTTGAACTCCTAGGCTCAAGCGATCCTGCCTCAGCCTCCCAAAGTATTGGAATTATAGGTCTGTGCTGCTAAGTCCAGCCTCTTGCAGCTCTTAGAAAAGAATGAAGACCTAGCCCAACTAGGGTTGGGTCCAGAGCTGCCTGACAGTGGAGGGATTTGAGCGGTCCACCATGACGGACTGACACCGTGCGGCTCCAGGGGATTGCTGTAGCATGTCGTCATGACAGCTGGGGAATGTGGAATTCCCATGGGTAGTGACACCCCTCTCAGGGCTGGGGTCTGCCAGGCCCCCGGGTATCCTCATATGTGCCTTGGCCTGTGACCGGGCCTCTCCTGAGAGACCTGGCCCTGACATCTGGGCTTCTGCAGTGGTGAGATGTCTACGTGGGGTTTGGATTCCATGGCCTCTGGTGCATCCGAGGAGCTGAAGGGCTGTAGGGGGACCCTGCCCAACTGTGCTGTCTGCTGTGCTGGGTGCTGGGTGCTGGGGAAATAGTCCGCAGTCCCTGTGGTCTCGGGCTTTCGGGCAAATGTTTGTCAGAGAATTCCCTGGAGTGTGTGCCGTAGTCAGTCTGCTGCTGCTTTAATAGAATACCCCAGACTGGATCATGTATAAAGAAAAGGCAGTTTTTGGCTCATGACTTGGGAGGCTGGGAAGTCCACGATTGGGTGGGTGCATCTGGCGGGGGCCTTTGTGCCCCACTGTAACATTGTGGAAGGTGAGGGGGCAAGAGCACGTGTGGAAAAAAGCACGCCGGGCCAGGCTTGCTTTCTAGAATAACAACTGCTCTCCGATAAGGAACCCACTGCCCCCCTGACCTGGGCACCTCCTCTCCACACTGCTGCATTGGGAATTAAGCTTCCAGCACTTTAACTTTTAGGGAACACATTCAAACCACAGCAGCATGTAAGCAGAGGAGACCAGTCAGGAGAGGCTGGTCAGTGGTGCTGAGGTGTGCAGGGAGCTATGGAGTGAGTGCGGGGGAGCATCTGGGAGTGGGAGCTGCGCCTCCAGAGGCCCCGGGGGAGAGTTAGAGTGACAGGAATGGGTGTAAGTGGGTCCAGGCCGTGCGCAGCAGGGGTGGAGCCTGCAGAGCCTCACAGTCCCGGGGAAGGGATTGATTTCATCTTTATCACCTGCAGTGCCAGGTTGTGAGGGTTTGGGGGCTGGAGGAGAGGGTGGGAGTGAGAGGCAGTGGACCTCAGCACACGGGGGTTGGGGTGGTGAAGGCGGAGCTGACGGGATTGGGATGTGTTTTGGGGGCGAAGCTGGCAGGACTCAGGGGTGGAGTAGGAAAGGACCACTGGGTCCCTCTCAGCCTTTCCTGTCCCAGGATGCAGGACCCCACACCCTCCAGCCCTACAGTTTCCTGCTGCCACAGGAGGCACCAGGTGTCCCCTGCGGCCCTGTCTTCTCTTGGGCATCCCTCCTGCCTGGCTCGTCTTCCCCTTGCTTCACTCTCCCCTGGGGTGAGGGCAAGCATCGCTTCTTCCTCTGTACAGGCACGCTTCGTACAGCTGCACGGGCGATCTCTGCCCGCTCCTGACCCTCAACCTCTGACCTTCGGGTAACCACCTGCCTGTCAGGTTTCAACTGTTGCCTTTCCCACTGCTGGCAGCCTGGCAGGATTGGCTCCCACCATGTTCTGCTGATGGAGCTGGGCTTCTGCACTTTCCAGGCAGGCTGAGTGTACAACTCCCAGCCCAGACTTGCTTTAGCTCCCCAGGCCAGCAGCATAAAGGCCACCTCCTTGGAGGGGCACCCAGGGCTCTGTGTGTTCTGGGCCCCATCCTGGCCCTCAGGCCCCATGCCTGTCCACCAGAACAACCTGACATTCTTCAAACACAAGGCGGCACAGGCCTGCGGTGGCCCCCCATGTGTGGATGGCCCTCTCCCCTATCCACTTGGGTGACTCCCATCACCCTGAAGACTCGGGACCACATCAGTCTCCTCTGTGCTTCAGCCTCTGGCAGCAGCAGTCCGTCCTCAGAGGACTTGTGGCGGTAGTGATGGTGGTGATGGTAGAGATGGCGATGCTGGCGTGGCTAATGTTTGTGGAGGGACATGCGTAGTGGTACTTGATATGCAAGCTCCCGTTGGTGGAGCGTGCATGGTGTGCTGGACAGCAGCTGCACGTTCATCATTCCATGGCATCCTCCCAACATGCACGGGGGCTCTGGTTTCTCCACTTAGGAGGTGATGGTGTTGGGTCTCAGGGTCACTGCATGCCAGCCATGGTCATTCAGCCATGGAGCAGGAATTTAAAGCCAGCATGTCTGCCCCAATGCTGCACTGTGAGATTAAACATATCATGCTCTTCGGGAATTATTCGGTAAATTTGTATTCTCCTGTTAGACACTAAGTTTCTTGAGGGCAAGACTCTGTCCCCATCTTGGTTTCTCCAGTACCTGGCACTGCACAGGTGTTTTTTTGGTGGATGGATGAATGGAGAGAGTTAGACTTGGGGATGGAGGAAGATGTGGCCCTCAGGGGTCAGCCTTGTGCCTTCGTGTCTGAAGGGCAGAGCTGGCCAGGTGTGAGCTAACTGCTCCCATGTGTTCTCTCCCCACCCCCACCCCACCTGGCACGCGGCTGTGGCGGATGGCAGATGTTCGCCGAGGAAGAGGCCGAGCTGACCCAGGAGACACCCCCAGAGAAGCTGCAGCAGTATCGCCAGGTGCACCTCCTGCCAGGCCTGCGAGAACAGGGCTGGTGCGAGATAACAGCCCATCTCCTGGCACTGCCTGAGCACGATGCCCGTGAAAAGGTGCTACAGACGCTGGGTGTCCTCCTGGCCACCTGCCAGGATCGCTACCGTCAGGACCCCGAGCTCAGCAGGACTCTGGCCAGCCTGCAGGCTGAGTACCAGGCGCTGGCCAGTCTGGAGCTGCAGGAAGGTGAGGATGAAGGCTACTTCCGGGAGCTGCTGGGCTCTGTGGACAGCTTGCTGAAGGAGCTGAGATGAGGCCCACACCACGACTGGACTGGGATGCTGCTAGTGAGGCTGAGGGATGCCAGCATGGGTGGGCTCCTCAGGCAGGAAGACATCTTGGCAGTGCTGGCTTGGCCATTAAATGGAAACCTGAAGGCCATCCTCTGTCTGCTGTGTATCTGTGTAGACCGGGCACAACCCTGTGCCCTGGGGGTCAGGTGAGTGGGTGGGTGATAGGCCCTGGTGATGTGCAGGGCTCAGCCCAGGGCATCCAGGAACAGGCTCCAGGGCAGGGGCCTGGGCCTGGGAGTTCCAAGCCTCTGCTGCTTACCATGTAGCAGCTCTGTGACCTTGAGAAGTCACTTAATTGCTCTGAGCTTGTTTCCTCATCTGTTAAAGGGAGTGCCACTAAAGAAGAAACATCACGTGAGACGCCACCCTAGTGCTGGCATCCAGCTGTGAGGAAAGGCAGGGAATCATCTCACTGCCCCTCTACCGGTGCCCATGTAACAGCTTAGAGGCCACTGACCTGACGGGAGCCCGAGGTCTCTCCATACGCAGGGGTATTGTGGTGGCCCAGGCAGCTGATGGCCTTGGCAGCTCCTGGAGCGATGGATGCTGGGTGGGGTGCTGGGCAGGGTGCTGGGTGGTGCTGGACTCTGGAGGCTCAGGGGCTGGGCTTTACTCTAGGAGAAAGCTGGCAGTGGGAGCCCAGATCTGCCCAGCCCACCTGACAGGGCAGAGGTGCCTCTCTGTGCCCTTGCCCTGCTCCTGTGTCCAAGCAGAAGCTGTGCCAAGCCCAAGGAGGAGGCCTCAGAGGTGGGAGCAGCCATGCCTGGTGAGTCCCGGTCCCCACCCAGGCTGGCAGAGTGCCAGGCAGAGCTGGCTGCAGGTTGCCATGGCAACCCGGGCTCTGAGCTTTTCGGATTTGATTTCTGGTGCGTTTGTTTCTTGGCTTTCCCAGTGCGCCAGAGGCTTGCTCGTATGGGCCCAGGCAGCCGCTCCAGCCTGCAGGTAGTAAAGTCGGGAGGGCCAGTCTGGGGCAGGACTCTCTCCTCTCCCTGGCTCTAGGCCTTGCTTGTAGAAATCTCAGTTTTACTGAGCTGAGAGCAAACTGACGCCCAGAAAACCATAGGGTCAGTGGGTGGCCTTCCCTGCAGTCCCTTTGCTTGGCCACCTGGCTCTTCTCAGCCCACCTCCTGGTCGCCTCCTGCCACAACACGACACCAGGAAGCTCAGAGAGGAGCTGTGGCCTGCACGGGGCCCCTCCCAGTGGGGCAGGCAGGAAGCAGGAGCCCAGGCTGACATGAGAGTAACAGCTTCCCCAGGGCAGGAAGCCTCAGGGCTTGGGCAGAGTGGGGGTCAGGCTCATAGTCTGCCAGCTGTTGGGTACCTGCTGCTTCACAGCCTCGCAGGAGCCTTCGAAGTAGATTTTACAGATGAGGAAATTGTGGCTCAGAGAGGCTAAGTGACCTGCTTGTGGGGGCAGAGGTGGGCTCGTGGTGCTGATGGTGCTGTGGGAGGCTTGAATGGCACCTAGAATAGGACAATGTTGAATTGACAAGCGGCGGAGGGAGGACCAGGAGAGATAGCCAGGCACGTGTGGCCACAACAGGGCAAGGTTCAGACAGGAGGTGCCAGTGCCTGGCTCAGGCCAAGGTCAGAGGATGCTTTAGAGGTAGTGTCGCAGGCTCCGGGGTGGATTTGAGAACAGGGCAGGGCAAGGTGTGATGGGGAGTGGGGCTGCCCCAGCAGAGGCTGGAACAGAGGAGGACTTGGGCCGGGTTGGGGATGAATCTGTTCTGGGCTTTCAGCATTCAGAGGCGAGTGCCAAGGCTGGGCCGTGGGAACAGAGGACAGGCGAGAGTGTGGGGCGTGGCAGGGAGGCCAAGCCAGGCGCTGGGCTGTGTCAGGACCAGGCTGGCCCTTGAGGCCTCTGTGACCACCAGGGTCTGGCCTAGGGTGTGGAAACAGTTCCCATGGGAGGAGTGCCACTAGTAGGGGCCTAGCTGCCGTCCCCAGTGTCCCCTCTGCTCCCAGCTGTGATGCCCTCAGCAGCGATTCTGTAAAGCATAGGGAGGCGTTGGGCCAGGTGCTCTTTAGGGAATTTCTGGGACCGAGGACTGGGAACCCGGGGCTGAAGGGAGGGGGCTGGACCATCGCCAGGCTGCTGAGCCTGAGGCCAGGGAGGTGGGACCACGTGCACTCTGCCCCCCCCACACACAGAGCATCAGGGATGAGAGTTGGGGCCTCAGTCTCTTTCCTTCTTGGCCTCATCCAGGTTCGTCCCAGACTGTTAAGCAGATGCTCTGGAGAGAGGGCAGTGGGGTGGCTCTGGGGAGAAGGATCTGGGCTTGGGCTGCTTGTGGGGGTTCTAGCTCCACCTCCTGATTCATCACTGCCTGTTGTCTGCAGGTCACGAAGGAACCCCTTCTCTGTCTTCCCTTTGGGTGCCATCCTGGGAACTGTGGTCAAGGAGTGTGACTGGGGCTCAAAGTGTGGCAGGGAATGGCGATGGGGGAGGCATGGCTTCCTCCTGTGGGGCTGGAGCCTGCTTTTCTCCCCTCCCTGTCTTGGGATGGGCTGAGAGCTGTGCGGGCTGATACCCACAGGTCCTGGGTGATTACTGGGTCCCTCCCTGCCCCTGGGCTGGTCTGACCTAGGCCCTAGTGCAGGAGGATGGCAGGGAGGGTGGTGGGCCTAGGTCCTTACCCTTCCCTTGGCAGCTGTGGTTTTATGAGTTTACTTGTTTTTCCTTCATTCACAGTGTGGCTGTTGAGCGGTCGTATGTGTCAGGAGTTGGAGCTGAGAAGGTTGCCCCAGAGCTGGTGATGGCCAGGCTGAGCCCTGCAGGCTGTGGGAGTAGCAGTCAGGAAAGGCAGGGCGAGGGCTCCAGCCTTGGGAAGATGCAGGAAGGCCAGAGAGGGGCAGTGTTGCCGGACGAAGTGGTGGGCTGAGGGGTTGAGTGGCCCAAGGTGGAGCTGTGTGGGTCAGGGGACAGGAGGGGTCCCCTTCGTGGGGTCCTCCGGCAGCTTGTCAGCCCTGTACAGGGCTGTGCCCTCATCCTAGCAGAGCGGAAGTAGGGGAAGCATTGAGCAGTCTCTGGGCTGCTGCTCTTTCATTCATTTGTTCAGCAAATCTGGTTGGGTTCTAGGAGCCAGGCACTGCTCTAGGGCAGTAAGTGTGAGGACCGGAGGGAAAAGGGCTCCATCATGGCAAATACGCAGGCACCAGGGGAGGGCCAGGCTGGGAAGACGGAGCCCAGTGAGGAGGAAAGAGGGGCGGGGGCTGCTGTTTCCCCTCAGTGGCGGGGAAGGCCTCTGAGGAGGAGCCAGACACAGGAGCATGAGCCACGGGGGTGCTTTGTAGACAAGGGATAGCAGAGGCAGAGATCCTGCAGGAACAGGCCGAAACGCTTCAGGAAGAGCCACGAGAGCCAGGCCTAGAGCTGGCAGAACCCATGGGAGGGGGGAGTTGGCAAGGGAGAGGGCTGCCTGGGGAGGCCGTGGAAGGGACCTGAGTTTTTTCTTTGAGGTGGGGCTGTTGAGAGTTGTGTGCAAAGGAGAGACCTGATGTAAACCACTTTTTTTTTTTTTTTTTTTTTTT